GAAGAAGGCTTTGCCATCAGCATCAGAGAGGGTACATGAGGGTAAGGAAGAAGTCTATGGCTCGGTAGGTGAAAGGAGTCATTATGGACTAGAAGAGGACCAAATGTTATCCACTAGGCTAAGGCAGGGCCAGAGAAGGTTACAAAAAGAGGGGGACAATTCTAAACACGGTCTTGAAATGCAAGCGGGCTTGCCAGGACTGTCAGGAGCAGGGGGAGATCTGAGCCAATTACAAGTGATTTGGAGGTAGCCGGCTGCGTGCAAGACCTGGCTGGTATCGCAGACACTCCGTATGGAAGACGAAACACTATAGCATGTGTTGTTATTAATTATCACAAAGAACACATAGGCCATCCAGTATAAAATACTATCACAGAACTAAGAAGAAACGAATCAATTCCCCACTTCAGGTTCAAACTGGTGATGTTCCTTGCCAGTAAGGTGAGACGTTTACGGCCCCTACCTGTTGAATGTCATTTTATGAACAGTGTGGGAAACGAGACCACCGTCTCTGTGAGAACTGATAAGATTTCCTATCTCACTTGCAAACATGATGGAATATTTCCAGAAATGTTTTAAATTTCTATTTTAAGTGGAAAAACCTCAAGCGCTAACATCAAAATGTTAGACAGTCCCATCTAGCGCTTCAGAACAATGCGATTATCTCAACATCAGTGTTTTTATTAAGATACCTCTGTTAGAAATGATGCCTAAACATTAGCATTAGTAATATTCCGAATTTAATTCTAAGTAGAAATACAAGGTTTCCCAATTTGCCTTTCAACTATGCAGCAGTTATCTGTCTTGTCACAACACGAATCCCTTTTGGGTGAAAGCTATTGATTCGAAGGTGAAAATCATCTTGCTAGGCCCTAATGTAATTTGTTGGAAGTTGGCCTTGGGAAACTTTCTGACACTGCCTACATATGCTCTTTGTTGGATATTCATTGAGCAATGATGTCTGAAAGGCTGAGTTCTTCACCTCCGTGATCGTTATTAGTTATGGCATTCCTTAGCAGGCCGTGCCATGTCAGTTCTTTGCAACTCAAAGTTTTACATTAGCAACCTACGGTTTACAGCACTGAACAGACGCGCTCTTCCACCACGGACAATATCGTCCCTGGTTACTTCTGTTCCAGGAGCGTATAGGTGAGGCTACACCCATAAATAGAATTTTTTAGTAAAGCTGCAAATGTTGTCAATATTGAAGAAAGTCATCTCTGTTTTAACCGAGGGAAATGAGGTGCACAGAATACATTTTAGGCGAGGCTAAATGAGAACTCCTCGACCTCGTTAAGGAACCCGTAGATCTACTACAGAAATAATTCAACGGGAAATCTTTGGCAGAGGAAACCGCAATATCTGTGGCCGCTGGTCTGCTGATCAAATGGGAGCGGGGAAAGAGGAGACAGCCAGCGCGGTCTCCGAGATGTACGGTGCCATTACTTCAATCTTCTCATGCCTCAAGATGCATTTTCACAGGCTGTCAAACATAAAATCTTCTGAGCAGAATTTTCTTTAGAAGATTTTAATCAGTTGTTTGATTGTGCCAACACCATAGCAGGGAATAGCAGCCAGCTCACCGGACGCTTCATCTTGCTCTGCGATATTGTCACGAAACTACTACGCTCTGAAGGTCTATGGGTGTTTTTACCGCACGCACCCAGCCATTCTCAGCTTTGACGGCGGCTTCTTCAAAACAGGGCCTAGCAAAACCACGATCACGTGAGCATCTGAGAAGAGCTAGAATTCAGAAAATTTTAAAATAATCAATCTATTTCTGGTTTTATCCTGACACAAATCTTGGGCTAATACATGTGAGGAATCTACTGGTGATTATAGAACTCTGGATGACATCTATAAATTTAAGCTGAAATTATATTGTCGTTCTACATTATTTGTAGGAGCTTGAACCTTTTCCAAAAGTCTGAGCTTGAAATATATTACGTTTGAAGCGAGCCCTGTAACGCAGAGATATCTTGACAAATTAAACATATCTGGGGCAAGATGGAGCACTCTCAAGGGCTTGGGAATCAGCCAGGAGCACTGACTCATGTTATTTTCAGGCAGTGTTGGGCTGAGTTTTGGGGATGGGCTGGCTTAGGAAACATCATCAGCTGTTGATATACAAGAACGGTTCACATCTGTACTATTTAGGACCAATTATTACATGCAATATATATATGAAATATGCTGTAGAGAGGCCAGATAGTATCTAGGGAGGTGTTCAGTATAACTCAGGATCAATGGCACTGATTGCAACTCGTTGCCTGTTTGCTGAGGTTGCTGCCTTCTTGTAGAAGCCTGAAGTGGGTGCTCGAGAAGTTTGGGGTTTCACCTGGGACGTGTGACCATCGGTGAACGGAGTGGCTGAAAGCCCCAGAGAACGGGGACGAGATGAAGAGGACCGGGCTAAGGAGATGGTCAGGAGACAGAGACTTGCTTGAAACTGCATTTTAAAGCTTCTGGGTTTTTCTTCCCCTCTCAAAATGTTAGATAAATAATTTACATATAAAACACTTGTTATCGGTTGTTTTTGCTGGGTCCACAAAGTTCACGCCTCACGACACCTTTTTTGCTAACAACAGTTTTATGAAATACTAACATCATCAAGAAAGGACGTTGGACTTATAATAAAACAAAACCTGTGGCTGAGATTTCACGTGTTTAAGATGAGATCCAATCTGCAGTGAAACGAACTCCTGGGAGATTCCTGTTTATTTTCATATAAAATGAACTGGATGCAAATTCATTTACGTTTATAGACTGAATCTCAGTGACAGTTTGTCCCAGGGGCATTGAAAAGTATTTTAAATCATTCTGATAGTTAATTACTCAGCAAATGAGAACACTTTAAAGACTTTATCATATAAAATAACTTTAATAATTTATGCTTATGGGGCATCACAGAGGTAACTGTAGGACTGCTCGGAAGGAGGGGAAGACTGCGTGCCTACGCATTTACAGCTGAACTGTACTAACACGTGTATGACTTCTGATACACAAGTAGGACACTTGCCATCACCTCAGGTTTCTTCCCCGTCCCTCTCTTTGCGTACATGTCTGTAGTGCTCCACACAAGGCTCTCGGTACATTTTAAAATAGCCTAACTTCAGAAATCTAGTAATAGCGTTAGTTTGCAAGGACTCAAACAGAGACACAGATGAAGGCTTACATTTACTGGGTTAAGTGGAACAGAATAGGTCGTGATCAGAGATAAGTCTTAGGTATCTTAGTTATATTAGGGGAAGAGGACAACTACCTAAGGGAGGGGAGAGGAGAGGAGAGGAGAGGAGAGGAGAGGAGAGGAGAGGAGAGGAGGGAAGAGGAGA